CCCCACCTCCCTGTCCCTCCCTCCACCCAGGTCCCTGGTCTTTCAGCCCACCTGGCTCTCCCACAGCCTAGCAGCCACTGAGCCCCAGCACCCAGCAGAGGGACATGGGCTGGGATGGGGCCACTTTGACCACCCAGCAGATGCCCTGAGAGGATCAAGAGATGTGGGGAACCCCATAGGTAGTTAGTGGGGAGCCACAGAAGGTGACTGAGCTGGGCAGCGACCAGACAGTGTATGAGGCTGAATGTTGAGATCAGAAGAAAGGAAATCAGAGAGAGAGACAGGTCAGGGCCAGTGTGTGGGGGCAGTTCCCAGGGGGGCAGGGCTTGTGTGGGAGGGTCCGGGGGGGCAGGGCTGGTGTGTGTGGGGGTCCCAGGGAGGGAGGGCTGGTGTGTGTGGGGTCCCGGGGAGGGAGGGCTGGTGTGGGGGGAGGCCCCGGGGAGGAAGGGCTGGTGTGGGGGGGTCCCAGGGAGGCAGGGCTGGTGTGAGGGAGGTCCCGGGGAGGCAGGGCTGGTGCAGGGGGTCCCGAGGAGGGCTGAGAAGGGCCGATGTGGGGGCTCCTGGGGACAGCTGAGGATGCTGGCAGGTGCTATGATCTGATAAAGCCAGAACCAACCCAGGCCAGGGGTGCAGGGAGAAGGATCCCCAGGATCCAAAGGACAAAGGAGCAGGGCTTGGAGCAGCTACGTGGACGTGGCCACCTTGGTGGATGGTCCGTTTCACAGGGAGGAAGTCGAGGCCCACAGAACCAAGATCCTCCCTCTCCTCCTTCCTACAAGCAGGCACATCCGCTGTTTGGGAAATGCAGTTTGCGGGGGGCCGGGAGGGATTGCAATCTTGAAATAACACTGGCTGGAGCTCGGGGGAGGCCGGCGGGCACGCAGGCGGACAATTAATTACGAGGATCCCGCTCTGAGCCGGGTGTTTACGTGCGTGCTCGTCTGTTTGGGGCCTGCAAATCCGTGTCAGATGTTAATGGAACAGCATCATTTTTCTGCTGAGGTGGCATCCCCAGGGATGTTTGGATGAGGCGGCCGGCGGGACTTGGCCTGGGAAAGGCAGGCCGGCGGCTGAGGAAGGAGGTCATTTGTCAGGCTGCCCGACAGCCTGGCCGCCCCACCCAGGTCCCTCTGTCCACCAGGCTCTGGGGATGTGAAAAGTAAGGACGCACTCAAAGTAGGAGGTGGAAGGGAATTAACTGAGCATCGACTCAGCAGACACAGGCCAAGGGGCCACGCCTGGCCACCCAAGGCCGCCTGTATCCTGCTGTGACCGGAACCCCATGAGGGCATTCTTCTGTAGGCTGTGGCAGCGAGGATGGACGGCAAGTCGGTGGGGACACACTCCCTCTCATCTCCCGCTGGGGCCTCTCCTCTGTCCCTCCGCTCATGTCGGCCGGCGGAAGAGGCCCAGAGACAGGAAGTGACCGCCCACCATCACACAGCCAACAGGCCCTTGGTGTGGGCAGGCCTGTGGCCCCTCTGTGTGGGGAGGGAGCTGAGGCCTCCCTGGGGTCCCGCAGACAGGCAAGGAATGCCCACCAAGGGCTCCTCAGGCCAGTGGTGTAGCCACTCATCCAGGCAAGCTTCCTGGGCCAAGGCCTGGAAGGGACAAAACCTTGCAGGGACCCTGGCCCTGCCAAGCTCTCCACCCACACTGTGCCCCGCTATCCCTCAGGAGGCTCCCTCCTGCCCCAAGGCCTTTGCACAGGCTCAAAGGCCATCTCCCAGCCCCAGGGTCCAAGCCTCCTCCCTACAGGCCGAGGTGCAGGCACAGTGGTAAGCGATTAGTGGTGGGAAAGCTTGAAGCACCCTGCCCGGCACACAGTAGGATCTCAGGAAAGGCGGCCACTCTGGCAGCACGGACTTCAATAGGAATCTCACGCCATCGTTAACCACTGGGAATTACTGTGAAGCAGACTTGCTTTCACAGGCCTGGGAACCAGCCTGAATTTTTACGCCAGTAGCATCCTTTTGTAAACCCTGGTTGGCGAGCCCTCTTGATTCTCCTTCCTACACCCAAGGAGGGCAGAGACCCCCTGCAGTGGATCTGCCTCAGTGTCCCTATCTGCAAAGAGGGCTCTTTGCTCAGGGCTGTGCAGAGGTGGGGTGGGCAGGGCCCAGAGGGCCTGCAGCCTGCACAACTAGAGACCCTCATGGTGGAGGGGAGAGCCAGGGGAGGGGACGGCACGGTGCCCTTTACACGGCTCCAGGTGCCACAGCGTGGCCTGGCCCTGCTGCCCTGCCCAACTTTGGGGCCGCTCCCCTGCATTTCGGCCCCCTGCTCCAGCCATCCTCAGGTGGCACCCCACCTTGTCCCCACCTCAGGGCCTTTGCACAGCAACCCCCTTCTCTCGCAGAGCTCCTCCTCCTGGGGCCCAGGAACTGTCCCGCCTGGACTTGAACCCCAGTTCCACCAGCTGCGAGACTGCGTGCCTCAGTTTCCCCATTGGTAAGACAAAGACAGTGCTAGGACCTTCCACAGGGGACAGCAGCGAGCGTGAACGCACCAATGCGGGGCTGGTGCGGACACCGGCCCTGGCACACCGGCTGCTTACGTGGTTTAGGATGGTGCGGACGTCCCTGCACTGCAGCGCGCTGACCACTCACTTCCCGGGCCGTTGCTGTTCCCTAGGCCGGCAGTTGCACCGTCGCCCCGGGCCGCAGCAGAGCTGAACTCAGGCTTCCACCGACCGCGGAGCCTGGTTCCCGGCCCTCCCCTGCCCCCTGGTGGTCACTCTCGGTATTGCCCCCAGGCACCAAGGGGGACCCTTCGTGCCCAGTTTGGGACTGGCTCCTCCCCAGGCTCCAGGCACCCAGGGGGCGGCCGTGCCCACAGTGCTGAGCTCCCACCTGCACGGACGCAATGGGGACGTGTGCCTACCGGGCCTAGGGCCAGGGTGGAGGGGCCCCCCGGGAGGGAGTGTTCAGGGAGGGGCTCCCAGGGGAGAGGAGCCCTGGGGCAGGACAGAGTCCCAGAGGGACGCCTGCTGCCTCAGGGCCTTTGCTCATGCTGCTAAAGACATCTTCCTCCCCCAGGCGCTCCAGGGAACCTCTCAGAAGCCCCTTGTACCTGGCGTGTGAGCGGCGACGGCGCTGGCAAGGCCTGGGCTCTCCTCCAGGTGGGGAGCGGGCCCTCCTCTGAACGCGGGGACCTCCTCGGTAAAACGGGCTTCTCGTGGGCCTCGACGATGGCTCCGGAAGGTTCTCAGCACAGCGCCCGGCACACAGCCGCTGTTTGCGACCACGGAGTCCGGCTGGACCTCGACCGCTGGGGTCGGGAGCGGCGTGGGCCTTTCCAGGCGCTGGGGCACCGGACGCCGCCCGTGCCGGCCAGACGGACCAGGCCCCGGCAGACGACGCGGCTCCAGAGAGGGCGGGCGTGCAACCCGGTGTCTGCTCTTGCCAAGTGCACGGCGGGCCGGGCCGTCTCCGGGGCGGGGACTGCGGCTCCCCGCCGGCGCTCCGCTCCGCGGCCCGCGTG